ATAGCACCCATTATGACTACGTGATAGCTGTTATCGCTGCTGTTGTTTAAGGTGCCGATATCTCCGCTTAAAACCGAGGGGTGTGTTGCCGGGCTTCGCTGACCGGTAGCAGGATTGTAGCCTCCTGTGATCCTTAACTTGGAGCGCATAATGGCAAACGTAGCATCCCGCGGGTCAGTGCTGCCATGCGTATTGCCTGGGTAATAAGTGCCACCAGCTACTCTTATCTCGCTCACATTGCACGTATGAGCCAATGCCAGTGCTTCTTCTAAAGTTTTAAATGCGGTATTCCACGAATTACCATCCCCCGTTGTTGCTTTGCCGGCATCAACATATAAGATAGACGATGCAGCACAAGGCGGTAAGGTTGTCGGATCGTCGCCACGCAGGTTTCTTGGGGGCTGCCAGGTGTTAAGCTCATTAAATACCGTAACCAGGTAGTTCTTATCATCGACAACATGCCTGCCTCTGTGATATCCGGCACCATCTGAATGAAGACTGTTGAACCAACCCTGGGTAATACCGGCAAACCATTCCGCGCTACCATTGGCACGCACATGCTGACTGGTCTGCAGATTACAAATAACATCGATGGAATGCGCCATCTCATGAACCACCTGTTCATACTCCCGGTAAGCTTTGTCGGATGCACCACGGGTATAAACACCCATTTTATTCATCATTTCTTCCGTTATCAGCACCAGGTGTGTGCTGCCGGGAAATACACCACCCCTGAATTGTGTCATCCAGGAAGATTGCACCCTGGGATATAAATAGGGCGTAGCCGCAGTGATGGTATTGGGGTCGTCTTTAGAAACGATCACCACTTGCTTATTATCCGTATTGGCAGTCATTTTTGCCACCTGAACAGGCAGCAAGGCATTAAACATGTTTTTGTATATCAGGTGGGTGTGGAGTATTGCCCAATTGCTCACGGTGTGCGAAGCAAATTGAGTATAACCAAATGGTAATTCCAATTTCCGGTAATGATCGGAAGTGGAGGCAACCGGAAATGCATAGCCGGTTACCAGGTCCATTGGTAACAGTACCCAGCAC